TAAAGAAGTAAAATTGTTGAAAAAGCAAAGTCATTTAAGGTGTTTTCGTTTAAAATAACAATTGATTATATTTAACTTAATATTTTTGTTTATTACATGTCTTTGTGATTTAAGGCATTTATTTGATCCTTACGTATCCATTGGTCTATTTACGATTCTTGTGGCTTTTAATATAATTTCAAAAAAAGTGATACTGTAGCCGTTGCCCGCTGTTCGATATTCTCTTCGGGCGAACTGGGTAAATTGTGGAAAATACGCATTTTAGCAGAAAAAACACTACACACCAAAATTTCGGAGGGGAATGAGTAATCTAGATACAGTGCGAAATAGCGGTTTCAACTGTTTTTGGATGAATTTACACTAGTTTTAGGGGAAAATGTGTTATTGCTTATGCGAACGCTCAAGTGGCTACTATTCATATACGTGTCAATACATAGACACGCACTGGTCACCAAGCCTGTGCAGTTGTATGTATTGTAAATTTTCCACACAGAAACTCGTTCAATACATACAACTGCACAGACTTGGTGACCAGTGCGTGTCTATTAATTGGCACGTATATGAATAGTAGCCACTTGAGCGTTCGCATAAGCAATAACACATTTTCCCCTAAAACTAGTGTAAATTCATCCAAAAACAGTTGAAACCGCTATTTCGCACTGTATCTAGATTACTCATTCCCCTCCGAAAACTTACAGTGTAGTTTTTCTTTTTGATCCGGTTTGATCTTGAATAGTATTTTTTTCTTTGAATGAGATACAAATTTTCGCAAATTTTCTTCAAACTTATTTATTTTATGATATTCTGTGTCGAAGCTGATATCGACCTTGGCTTCCTTCCTCGAGCCGCTTAATTTTGATATCTGTCTTTAACACTTAATGTTTGTCGTTGCCGATGTTGAGTGCATAGCAAACTGGTTTCAAACAGTTGCACCAGAACAGTTTCGCTGGCCTCCTGTAGAGCTTCCATTGCCTGCGGCTGCAACCGAATCGACGCTTTGTCTTTTCTAAGATCGCATAGCAAATCGCGCACATATCTGTAATGAAAAATCATAAAAAACCCAGAAATATCGAGGGATCACGAGAAATTCATATGTGGAAACCGTTAATAAGCACTCGAATTGGTATGTACCATATAGAAAAAATGAAAAAAAATTATACCTTTCAAACGAATTTCGCGGTATCGTCATCTTCGTCGATTGGCGTAAAAGATCAATCTCCTTCTCGATTTTGCCCCTCTTCTTCTTATTCATCTTCTTCGGAGTCGCATCACTGGAGCTGAAAAAATATTTATTATAAATAAACGTAAATACACAATTATCTCGACAACTTTTTGAGATATCGCCTCAATAGAAAACGATATTGTGAATAGAATATTAAACATTATCGAGAATCCCGAAGGATTATTTGAGGTTATTTTCGTACTAGATTGCATTATTTGAATTATACAAATCTAATATTTTCCCCCTCGGTGTCCCTTGCTTATCAGTTTTGGAAATTCCATTTTCATTAGCCCGTTATGCGCTTTGCGTAGCGTCAATCGTTCATTTTTGTGAAAATTTATATTCACGCCTTGGAAAAAACAATTGATTGAAAAGCCATATTTAGGAGAACTCTCATTGATATTTTTCCACCACGCAGCGCCTAGCAATCTTGCTAGTTTCCTATAAAAATGAACTAAACTCCGTATGAACGAATGACGCTTCGCAGAGCGCATAATTTATAGACTTCCCATTCCCGATTTCTAGGCGGGAATTTCCCGATTTTCATCACGATTCCCGCCTTCCCGATTATTGGACCAAATTCCCGATCTGGGCCAAAATTCTCCTGATTTAAGTTTTTTTTTCTTAAAATTTCTTCATGGTATACAAATAAATCGTTTTGGATTATTTAGAAAGCAGTTAGTAAAAATGAGAAAATAATTAGCACAGAGAATAAAATAGTTAGCGCAATATTGCGTATATAGTTAGTTAAAAATAGATGGAAAGATAGAATTTGAATTACGAAATACATTGATATCAACAATCAAATGTGGGCCAATTGCGTTGTAATTTTTTTCTCCAAACAGCTTTGAAAACATCTGTTGATTTTGCATTTGTCAGCAAAAATGATGTCTCCAGATTTTGAGTCATGGCGACTAAGTAAAACGTGCATTGAACAAAAGATTACACAAAATATCGATTAAAAAACAAAAACTGTATACTCGGGTCTTTTGTTTGGAATGGGTATGTAAATCAGTATGCATTGCCAGACATGCTGTCTCCAACACCAGAACAATTATGTACTGTTGCAGTTTTGCTTGTCGCGATTCACACTTATTGTAATTTCAATCAGTGTGTCGTGTGATTTCATAAGCTATAGATCGAATATCTAATATAGGACGCAAATAAGTCAAACACATGCTGTGACGAGAATGCTGACATTTGATGTTTACATTCAGTTTTGATGATTACGATATTATATTTACGTACGAACTTATCGTTTACTGATTAAAATAAAAAAAACATGCGAAGTTAAAAATGTATTTGAATACACAAAAATACTGTTTTCTTTTTTCTTCTTTCTTGCATCGTCAAGGATTTTTTGTTATAGTTATCTATTTCGAGTCATTTGTTCTGGAAATTTGTTGCTTCAGCTTAAAAGGTAATGTTAAATTAGGCCTCTCAGATGCATTTTACAGTGAAATTATTGATACTGAAAAATTCCCGATTTCGACCCATTTTTCCCGCTTTTGAGCAACAAAATTCCCGATTTGAGCCGAAATGCATCTGGGAGGTGTACGCATAATGGGCTTATGAAAATGGCATTTCCCAATTAGACTGGTCAACTTGGGCAACACGTGTTACATGAACAGCGTAATTCAGGCTCTATTTATGTCAAAAGAGTGAGTTCGTTGATTGTATTGGGTGTATGCATTAGTTTTAAAGAATTTCCACTACAGATGGCGTAACTTGTACTATAACGCATCGGGCCATACTGTAACTATATTCACGTGAAAGCCACATCATTTGACATTAGTTTTCAGTAGGTGTTATTTTACCAAAGCGTAAACAACATACTTTTTTTCACTTACAATCATGTCAAAATACGTGCCGAAAAAACAGCATTTGCGGGAAGTTTTACTTTTCTTCTATAGTTCGAAGAAAACTGCTGCTGAAAGTCATCGTTTGCTTTTGGAAACTTATGGTAGCTCTAATGCTCCATCGTCTAGTACATGTGAGTACTGGTTTCGATGCTTCCGAATTGGAGATTTTGACGTGGAAGACAAAGAACGGTCAGGTCAGCCAAAAAAGTTTGAAGAAGACGAATTGCAAGCATTATTGGATGAAGATCCATGTCAAACGCAAAAAGAACTTGCATTGGAGTTGAACGTAGACCAAGCAACCATTTCCAGACGTTTGCATGCAATGGGAAAGATTCGCAAGCTGGGAAAGTGGGTTCCACATCAACTGTCTGAAGAGCAGCGCAAAGCACGGATCGTCACATGCAAAAAACATCTTGCAGAGCACAAAAAACACAGTTTTTTATATCGAATTGTTACCGGCGAAGAAAAGTGGGTTTATTACGAAAACCCCAAGAGTAAAGCAGCGTATGTTGATCCCGGCCAACCGGCGCCATCCCAGCCAAAACGAGATATTCATTGCGATAAGGTTATGCTGTGCATCTGGTGGGATATGAAAGGAGTCGTGTATTATGAGCTGCTAAAACCAGATCAAACGATTAATAAGGAACGCTATCGACGCCAATTGAATGATTTGGCTCATGCATTGGATGATAAAAGGCCATTAATAGCTCGAAAACACCACAATGTTTTGTTCCACGATGACAACGCTAAGCCACATCGTGCAACAATCGTTAAAAATAAGGTAGAGCAGCTCGGTTGGGATCGGCTTGATCAGCCCGCGTACTCTCCAGACCTTGCTCCTTGCGACTACTATCTATTTCGATCGATGCAGATTGCCCTGTCTGAAGTACGCTTTCAAAATGAGGAAGAAGTGCGAAAATGGGTTGATGACTACATAACCTCAAAAGACGAGGACTTCTTCAAGCGAGGAATCAACAAGCTGCCTGAAAGATGGCTAGAAGTCATAGCTAACGATGGCGAATACATTGGTTAATGTACACATTCATTTTATTATTTTAATAAATGTATCTATGAACTCAAAAATTCTTTAAAATTAATGCATACACCCAATACATCAGAAATAATGAGATATTCTTTATCTAAAACTTCATTTTTTTCAAAACAGGCTGACTCATGAGTCATGACATTCTCTTGATGAAATTGCCGTCAAAAATTTCGAGTGCATTCAACAATTATTTCTGTTTATGTTGTATTCAGTGCGGCAGGAGCCGGTACCACGTGATGTACTCGGTCAGCGTCCGAACAGTTTTCTTGACGGTCATCAGCGGGACAGCTTCGAATATTTGGGCTATCTACTGAACCAATTGCACGAAGAGGAGAAACGGTGTCTCGAACGATCCAAGTCTCATCTCCAGTAATGATGCATTTCAGAACGTTTTGATAATCAGAAAGCAATGTTTCACAAACGTGGACGCGACGCTCTTTTTCCAATAAATTCAGTGTTTTTGGTACCAATCGAGATTTCACTCTTCTGAGGTGTAAAATATCTTTCAAAATGGTTTGAACTGATCCAAATGAAATGTCTACAGTATCAGCAATGTCTCTAATTGTTGATCGACGATTTTCGAGAACCAAATCTTTGATTTTCTTGACATGATTTTCGTCAGTTGATGTTTTTGGTCGTCTTTGATGTGGTTCGTCTTCAACGCTTTCTCGTCCCTCTCTGAACATTTTATGCCACTCAAATATTCTTGTTTTCGATAGAGCAAGGTCGCGAAAGGCCTTCTCCAACATCAGCAACGTTTCCGCAGCAGGAATTTCATTCCGCACACAAAATTTAATTCAACTTCTTTGCTCAATAAATTCAGACATTGAAAAAATCGAAAAATTCACTTTTTGATGTTCACAAGAACGGCTGTAAGTTTAATACTAATGAACAAAATGCCGTGAAATTTTGCATAGATGTCAGAAACAAGTGTACCAACCTAAGAAAAAAAGATTTGACATATTCGATTTACCCGCGTGATTTAAATTTGAAATTCCCGGTCATATTTGATCACAGTAGTAGAAATCTATAAAATAGAAGACGTTCGTCTCAGAAGATGTAAATCATGAAGATTGATGAAAAAAATATATTTGACAAACCTTTTTAATTGAATCACGAGCATTTTTGGACAATGAACTGAATATTTCTGTTTTTCTGCGGATTTTGTCTTGCATTTTTCGAACCAATCATCTAAAACTTCATTTCCGAAATATGATGTTATGCGCCTCTTTAAATTGTAGGGGACATTGCTGCAGGTTGGCTACCACTATTTGTTTTGGTCATAACTTTGTCAGGAGTGAACAATTAGAAGAGATCAAGGTACCGTTGGATAGATAATGTCTTGAGCTATAATTTTGCTTAAGAAACATATGCAATTGCTTTTCAAAAACAAAATTTATGGTCAAATTTCTGAAGGTGCTGAAATGGCGAAATTTTTTTTTTGCTGCAGGTTGAGAATTTTCAAAATTGTTATTTAAAATGTAAAAAAAACTATAAAATTATGATATACTTTCAATGTTATGATGATTTTATTGCTCTATAAAGCAATTTGGAGCCCAAAAATTACTCTAATTCATCAGATTCGTTGTCCATTTCCTGAATGGTAGTCCAATCATAAATTTGATTGAATAAATGAATTTTCGAAAAAAAGTCATCTTAAATGACTTATTTACTCTTCAATAATGATTCATAAACGAGAAAAACAATAAAATCTTTTATATTGTAAAAAATATCTTTTTTCAACCTGCAAAAAAGTCACTTTCTCAACCTGCAGTTTTATAGACATTTTTACCGAGACTCGCAATTTTTTTTCAATACCACAAAATGCACATAATTCTTGTTGAATTGTAAAGAGAAATGAAAATACTACAAAAAAACGGCTGCCCGACTCTTTTTTCAATGCAAAATAGTCACTTTATGACATTCGGCAATAACTTAAATGACAAGTTTTCGCACAAAAATTCATGGGCGTATTGGAAGTGTATCAAAACCAACGCCAGTTCTGTCGGAACAATGTTTAAAAAAGAACAGGCCTCAAAATTAGATTTTCAAAACTATTCCGATGGCGATATGATCACGTATAGTGAAAAAAAGTAACGATTCTCAACCTGCAGCAATTCTCAACCTGCAGCAATGTCCCCTATTCATCATTTTAATTATTTTCATCAATATCATCATTTTTAATTTTGCGAAATCCCAAATTTAATCCGAGTGTGCTATCCTCATACCTCATTTCAAACCCACAATATCTGGGGTTTTACATGTGACGAAGACATAGGCATAGGTTTTGAGAAATGTAAAACTTTTGAAATAACAGTCCTGTGTTAAATATAAAAATATTTAAATTTGCAAGTGACCTCTCCGATTTCGCTCAAACTTGGTGTATAAACTTCTTATGGGCAAAAACTCGCAAAGCCAAAAAATTAGGGTGACCTTCTCCACCTGATTAAAAATTAGGGTGACCCAAACATTGAAAAATAAATAGTCTTACCTCCGTAAGACGAACTTTTCCGCACCGGTTTCATAGCGTTCAGCTTTTATTCAGATTTTGCCTAAGAAATTTATAAGAATTTTCAGAAAAAAACAACAGTACGTTCATGTATTTTATGGAAAATTGGCTTAAGATTTAGGGTAGGTGACTTTTCTCCCCCGATTTTGTCCGTCCGTCCGTCCGTCCGTCCGTCCGTCCAAATCAAACGGACATTTTGCAAACGGACAAACGGACGGACGGACCAAACTCAATTTTAAACGGACATGTCACCATAACAAACGGACGGACAAACGGACGGACGGACGGACAAAATTTGTTCTTCAAATTTTTCTTCAGCTATTATAACTTCCAACCGCCTTGGCCGATTGCGTTCATATTTGGCCAGATG